GATAATCTATGCATATATAATGTAATTTATGTTAATGACAAATCAATTTCGATGTATCTTCAGCTAGTTGTCCATCATACATGCTACTATTCTCTCGCCTGTTATGCATAAAATAGGGATGCCGATGTAGTGCTATGATGAAGAAAATAAAAGGAGATAATTATTAGAATTTTCAATGTATCTTAATGACTGTGGATTACAGAAAAAAATACACCGTCCTTCACAATAAAGATCAATGGGCTTCCATGATGTTTTGAAGAGCATCAGTTCGCAACTAGACTTCTATCACGACCTAATTTTTCAAAATTTGAACTAATGTTTTGAGGAGAAATCGCACTAACGTTCTAGGAGATACGTATATTAAATTCATTTTTTAAATTGCTTAAGGCTTCCTAAATCATGGTTCAAAAACACTTATTTTCAAGCAATGAGAATAATTCAAAATCCCTTCTCGCTCTCGAAACGCCTATAAATATATATCAAACACAAGAATATAGAGACGAAGAAAAACTGTTATTTACATGCAGAATTATTGGCATGTCATAGTTGATTTAGGAATTTCATAAATACGATAATAAAAAACAAATTCAAAATAACACGATCATTTAGTTCAAAACAGTAAATATTTTTAGGTAAATTATTCGAGCTTTTGATTTCTCTATACGTAGATGAATCAAAACCAGAGGGCTTAGAAGTAACCGAGTTTAGTTGCCGTTTGTCGTATTTTGCCTTCAAACTTTTTCAACATCAAATTTTATTATAAAAAGAACGAGCTTAGCTCATATTATGCATGAGTTTATGGTATTCTTAAATTGAGAATGTAAATGCCTTCTTCGGAAAGATTTAAACCCACAACCACGCCCTTTCAACTCTAATTCAAGATATTCTAATTATTGAACGGTCTCACTCAAATGCACAATGATGTGTGTGACGATGACGATAAAAATTCAACGAAGTTTGTCGAGGATGCTAATGATGCATATATATTTTTAGAAAAACATTCTCTTTAGTTAAGCAGTAAGAAGCCTTTCATTGCGAAACACGAAGCATCGGCAAATTGCCTAAAGTTGTTTGGCTTAAATCATAGTGAGTCAGTTTAACTGTCAATTGTCCACTGAAGACTTCGATTTGGCTATAGTAGTTGAGCCGAGCGCCAACATCAAGTACATACGTGCCTGCAGCTAAGTATACTGTTTCTGATCGCGAACATACAAAATGATGACTGCCTGGCAATGGATGAAACCACCAATTTCGTTCTGAGCCGACTGCTGAACCATCATTCCTGTAAAATGTGTTGTCTCTGAGTGTATGATCATTAGAGAAAAAAACAAGATACTCAGGGCTGGCCCAAACGTGGGTTGTTGTGGTTGCGACAACCCACCAATATTCTTAATACAATTATCAGCCTTATTTAATCACATCCACACAAAAAGATTTTTATTGATGGCTGGCTCGGCCAGTGACTGTTAGGGTCGTGGAACATCTGCAACATTGAAAGTTCTCGAACTTTTTCGAGGAAATTCAAAAATTCTCTTTCGTTCCATTAGCAAAAACGATCTTAGTCCTCATATAAAATCAATAACAACCACCCCAAAATCTCGGTACAACCCCTAATATTGGTTGATTCAGGCCAGCCCTAAAGATTATTATCTCCCTTAAACGGCTGTAGTGTTAAATGCAGTAGCCTCAAGGGAGAGTGGTATTAAAATGAGCGAAATTTCTTCAAAGAAGTGGCAATTTAAATTTTTTGCAAGATAGAATCCAGTAACCAACAACACTAAACAAAATACTATTTCGTCTCTAATTAATTATTACTTTTTGCTCATACAATACATATTAACACAGACGTTCTACTGCAAACATGAGCTACTGTGATTCAAAAAAAGAACTAATGTATTTGATACTGATTGGTTTAACGCACTGCACTTTATATGTTTTGCCGGCATGTTAATAGCGACAATCGATGCAATATTGTTGTCCGATCTGATTCTATATTTTTTTTTCTTCTTCTAGTCGTCCGCTATTATCGATACACTGTGTATACCTACACAAAGAGGAAGTGAACACAGACAGGTCATCATCAATACTAATATATTTCTCTTGACAGCTTCATTGCACAAAAGTCACGTCGGACGATTGTTCCTGCACAGATTAAGGTTCGTATTCAAAATTATTCATAGAATAATGAAAGGAAAAATGATCTTTTTTGATGATATTAGTTTGATGTTTTGGTTTGATCAAGTTCATTGCATGTGATAATTATCAACGAATATAAGTATCCAAATAGTAGTAAAGTCAACTTTATCGAAGATTTTTCTGATAGAAGTTTATCCGGATGATTGTGTAACATTCTACATAGAAGATCGTATTACTAGATTTTAGCACCATGAGATTCTGATTTATCTTATTTCAATCTTTGATTTATAGAATTAATCTTAAATAAAGGAGTTTAGTAATATTATTGGGTCTTAGAAAAAAAGATGTTTTTTTCCTATGTATTTAATACGAAATAGATTTTGATTGATGCTTATACAGTTCCAACGTAGTTTTATTATCCTGAAAGAAACTTTTTGATATTAATTTTTAGAGACTATTTTAGTTTTATCTTGCCATGCAATGATAAGTAAATTAGAAACACTACCAGATGAAATATTACTTGGTATATTTTCTTATTTATCATGGGATAAAATACTAATATCATTATGGTCAATAAATAGACGTATTAATTATGTTATCTATTCAGTATTTTCAATGGAAAAAAGTGGACTTGTTTTTAATCAATCAGATTTATCTTATAAAAATTTCTCATCGATATTACTACCGTTAATTTTGAATTCATCGTATCTTTCTTCTTTAATTAAATATATTCATTTTGATGGAACTTATTCAAATTCTTATAATATTATAAATAAATGTCTTTATAATCAACAAATTCTTTGTTTTCCTAATCTCAAATCACTTGATATTACTCGATGTTTATTATCTCGATCATTAATTCAGACATTATCCTTACTTATCCAAAATCAATTGGAACACCTTACATTAACATTCGATAAAGATGTGGTAAAAGTGATTGTAAATACAGATGAATTCTGCAGAGCTGCTCCGCGCACAGGTAAATATATATCAAAGATTATATGATTTTGAAGAATAAAAGGTCTTCGTTGAGCCGTCTTTCGACAGGTTTTTTTCGTTTGGAAATTTTTGATTAAATTGTTAGTAAAAAAGATTTTTTATTTAGAACTTTTAATCTACTTTAAACTGAGTAGTGCTTTTTTGTCTGGAGAATATTTTCATCTGTTGTAAATGAGAATAATTTCCAATATCTCTGGACAAAAATTCGCTTCATCAGTTCAATTAACTTTATTCTTCTTCAAATCAGCTAGAACTTGACTCATTTCTAAAATCAGATGATTTTTGCTGTTTCTTTCGAATCGTTATTAGGAAAATGACTCAGTAATGTCATCCATATAGATATCGAACATCTTTGTAGGAAACAAAAGGAACTGTTGTCTGATACGGTTTATTAGTATGTTCGATACAAATAGAACTCAAATATTGTACCTTAACGAAATCAAATAGTTTTATATCATTTTGAGTGATTCATAGAAAAACATCAACGATCTTATGCATATTTATTTAAAATTCAGATGATTTTAATTGATAAGATGAATTTTTTTTATTAGTTTCTTGCATTATATCTATTTTTAACAATCGATAAATGATAACGAAAGATTTCCTATAGATTCTCATTTATGATTTTTATGACTTTATTGCCCGTAGATATTACGTAGTATTTTACTTAAAACTCTGAACACTTGAGTTTCCACTGAAATTTGACGAAGATATCAGATGTTAGCTTGTTCATTTTGAAAATATTACTAGAGGGTGCTAAATTTCTGAAACTGTCTTCTCTTGAAGAAGCATTGTTCTAAACAATGTATCTCGGAGACAGGATATTCACATATGATCATGAGATGCCTAGTTCGAATTCGAATATAAATGGACACGCAACTGCATGATATCAGTTCGAAAATGAGTGATAGAAATAGATTTAGTTTAAGATGAAGTGAGTTGAGGGGGGGGGGGGGTACCGGGTGGGGGGGGGGGGGGTGGGGGGGACC